AAGGAGTGAGTCCGTTGTTGACGAGGACAAGGAGGAGGGGAGTGGAGGGGAAGGTCGAGGAGATGGAGTCATTCAGGTACGTGCTGAGGCATATGCTCCTGCATTAGGCTGTTTTGGGAACTTCAGCTTTAGCGGCGACAGATCGCCATAGGCTTAGGGCAAGCTTTTGAACCTTTAACCGGTTGAGCATCCTGGCGAATGGATCTCCGCGGCGCACCAAGCAGGGAATTTCGATCTCAGTCTGAATTCGAAAGTGTACGCGCTGTGACTCTCGGCCTTGGTGGACAGTATGGAAAGCCTGTGGCAAGCGATGCCAGCTCTTGGTATTCAGATGAGTACGGAAGCTTTGCCGTTTTGCTGCGATGCCAGTAGGAATCAAAGCCTCCACATGGCCACTTGATCGCAGCTACTCCGATTGGAATCAAGTGAATGATGCAGAGAACACAAGTGAACCTCAAAGCCCTACATCCCATTTCCGTGCCCCTCTCTCCACACACGATTGGATGCTCTACACCTCTTTTCCATGACTCAGCTCTCACTGAAAAACATGCACGATGCGCAGACACGTCATGGAACAACTTCTGAGCATCAGGGTGTCACCGAAAGTACGAGGCGGAAGTTCCTGAACCATCTGACTGCAGAAACCACGGTTGTGGAGCAAGGGCGAACTCGACCTGCCATGCTGGACATCAGTCTTGAAACCTAGCCAGGTTAGCCATTCAGCCTGCGAAGTTGTTCGACCAAAGTGTTTACTTTTGAACCTACTGCAAATCTACTATGCTTCACAACCCCATCCAATTGTTCTTCAAACCAAGCAATCCGAAGTTGTCGACGTGTGAGCAGTTGCTGCTTGACATAATGCAGTACGATGCGAGGCTTCCTGAAACAGTGGCCATTGCACAGGACAGAATTGATCCTCTAGAGCTGCCAAAAACTGTAAGTGAAGGCACCGATCGCACCCAGCTTCTTTGCCTGTGCACTTGCTGTAACTGCTTCTCTCGGAGACAGTATGTCACTATGTTGTCCACAGGACACTTTGGACTCGATGACAACTTCAACACGGAAACTGACAGGCAACGGGCTTCCCAGTGAACGTGACAGAGTGTGTGAAAATTTCGATCCACAATGAATTCCTCATGGGTTCAATAGGTTCAACACCTGGCTTTGATCTTGAGTCAACTGGACATTGGAACGGCTATGCAGGAAAACTTCAACCTTGATTTGCACCGTTCAGCTTCAAGGCTTGAAGGCCCGAGGCTCAGCCCCCAGACCTTCGGCATCTTCTGGTTTGCCTACCCCGGACAAACCCCCGACTGTAGATTGAAGCCGCAAGCTGCCCTCTGTACCCAATCTGCGGCTTCCGCTTCCTTTGAGGCGAGCCAGCAGGGCAGTGTGTCGATCCAGTACTTGTTCCACAACAGCTCCAGGATGGTATTGTCCTGCGGAACACAGCTGAGGTTGAAAGCCCGTAGACACAGCCACTTGACGATTTTGGGGTGCAGGTTCCGGGTAGGTCCAGCTTGTAATGAGAGATTGGGTATCACAACCTTGGCCCAATTGCATGAAGTATGTGAAACCGCACAGATAAACAGGCATGATGAGCAAGGGACTCGTAGAACTCAACGACCGGCAGTATGCTGACACACTTTAGGGAATCAGCGGAAAGATGTGGTTCTAGATACCAGCTCTAAGGACACGAAGCAGTCGGGTCGACTCTGAGGCAATCTTTGTGTTATTAGATCTTGCCTTTTCCGCAAAAGATCGCAAAAGCTTTGAGGTGATCTCGTCCTAATTTTTGAACGTGGAAGAACTTTGAGGTCCTTCTTTACTCGCTTCTTGCGTACACCACAGAATCTCTAAGACTCTACGATTCTTCATTCAGCACACCAGGATTTGAGGGTTTTCAGCTCCAACTTCAGTGCCAAAGGAGATTTGGTTTTTGAAGGATAGCATAGCTTGGCAATGGGGATGGGTAGATGACATGTATCATCGACAGTGACTGATGGCCCCAAGCCGGAATTGCAATCAACAGTCTTGGGCGTAGGCAATCGAAGTCAGGGTTCCGGTTTCGTCCCGAGGACGGAGGTTTGCGATGGGATGGTCTGACGGTCTTGTTTCACGCGTCGGGCGCTCCAGATCGGAAAGCATCTGGTTTGGATTGGGTTCAAACTCACATTTGGAAAGTTTTAAAAGGAACCAAAATGCCCTTGGGATCAACCTGAAGCTTCCCTTCAACACCCCATTAATAGGGACCTCCGCAATGAACTGCTTGAGGGATTAATAGAAGCCCTACAGTATGTTGTTTGTGGAGACATGCGAAAACCCCGCCTCCGGTCCCAAATCAAGTGCGACAAAGGGGGACAAGCGTCGATCGCGCCGGCATCGGCCCACCAGTCCCAAATGAAGGGAGACCGGAAACAAGGAGACACAACGGGCCACACACAGGGAGCATCGAAAATCACCAGATCTTAGCACCCCCATGGGTCCGAAAGGAAGGGAGACAAGCACAGACATTGGGAAACAAGCGTTGAACACTCCGGCTTTGGCCACCCCTGCCAAGTCCCAAGTGAAGTCAGACAGCCAGAGACAAGCGTGGAAAACCCGGTATTGGCCACCATCTCACAGCGCAAATGCCGGAATGCTTGTTCAAATTAAGAAGAACCTCTGCAGTTAACGATTTGGGGAACATAGGTTGAAGACGAAGTCACCGCAACCGAATTTTCCAAGGCGAACTACAGAATCTTAACCGCTGTCTAAGTCTAAGCCGTCGGGTCAATTCTTGAATTTTTCAACTGCACCAAACGTTGTACTACTGAAATGACATATGTCTTCCAAAGCACTGTAGCAGTAAGGCTCGGGCCAGGCTGTTTTTGAAGATCTCGATGGGAAGAGTATAGTATCTGCAGGTGGAACCAGTGCGTGTGCGTGTGAGACATCGGGAGTGGGTTTGAGGCTCAAGGTTTTTGTGGATCGTCTTCGAAAAACACTCGGAAATGCAAGTCATCCACAACACGGCGCACTGCTTGCAGTGAACGCCGAAATCCTCGATTTTGTCTAACGGGATGGACCTCGCGGCAGAGACAAGGGGTCAGATCGTGGCTGCAACTCTCGCTCGCTCTGATTCAGTTCGAAGAAGACTGAATGCGTGCAGGAGGAAGCTATTGCATACAGTACGACAAATGTCTTGCTTCGCCCAGGAAATTCACGCCAAAAGAGCTTGGAACGCTCCCGTCATGAGAGCGTCGTCGCGCCATTACAGGAGAGCATCAACCGGCTTGCCGGCAGAGCTTTTTGGGAGCGCCTCTGCGCCTCATCTACTGTGATGGTAGCTTCTGAACCTGCTGTTGCTCGACTTGCAGCAGCTTCCCCACTCGAAGGTGATCACAAATGACTTGATGGCTCCCGTTGGGGCTACACTTCTTCGCTCAAGCCTGAAATCGCGTACCCAACATCTCGGAGCCTAACCATACTATCAGAAGCATTCGGCATAGGTCCCAGGCTGGTACTCCCCAGGCCCCTCATCCGGTGGAGAATATCCTGTGAGTGGCAAGAAGGTTTCGAGGAACATGTTCGAGATTCGAGGCCTGAGCTCCCAGCGAGGACCCAGACCATCACACCCCGAACATCAAGCTTGGACCTCTAAGCTTCAAGCCTCCCCCTGATGTGCCTATAGCATGTATTTGGCATTTGCACGTGCATCTGCGCGTGTCTGCACCGGCTATGTTGGTATGCCTGAGCATGACACCACTTATTTCCGGGGTTCTCACTGGGACACTCACCCGAAGCACGACTACGTAGACTTAACAGTCTTGACATGGTGGATTGCTTTTCACTCAGACAGGTCTTAGCAGCATCCCTAACGTGAAGCTGCAGTCAGGCCCCGAGCCGGCGGGGTAGGTGCGGAAGGCCCCGATGTCGACTTTGCCGGAGGCACACGTCCGGACCTGGGCCAAGGCCGCAAGGCCCCGAGGCTCCGGCGCCGCAGCTTGACACAGTTGAAGACAACGACGGTCAAGAATCAAACTACACTCAGAAGAAGGCAGTTTGGCTGAATCCAGAAGAAGCTTCCCCGGCTGCTGATAAAATGGATCAAAGCTACAATTCTCCTATGCGAGGTCGTCAACTATACTTCGTAAGCAAAAACGGCAAGCAAACCGCGTTACGACTTAACCTCATAGACCTCATCATCGTCAGCATGACCATGACCATTGATCATTACCATCACCAGTTCCGACATCATCAAATCGTTGCGGCTCGAAGCAGCGCAGAAACATCTTGGCAAGAACAACGCCGGACTCAAACTCATTCATGATAATCCAACAGGATCTCGCATACAAGCAGTCCACTCGTCTTCTTTGTCGTTCATGTCGTTGTCTCGATAGAGCTCGCGAAGCACCCACACCAGAATGTTTGCCTTTGAAACTTGAGGCTGCAGCAGGGTCCACCACCACGGCCAAGAAGGGTTCTTGATGCTGCTGATACCTTATCTGAGGCGTTTTGCAATATCTGACATATGTGGACGACAGTGCTTTGGCTGCGGCTGCCTTTGTGGGGCGTGCTTCTTCGTAGACTTTAGCGAGTTGAGAAACTCAGTTCAAACTTTACCTGCTAGAGTTTCTGATCTCAGAAGAAACGAAAACAAGTGGGCTTTGCCAGGGATGGGTGCTGGCAGAGCTCCCTAAACAAGGAGATAGGAAATCATTTTAACACTGGGCAAGAATGACCTTCACCACAACTTGCAGCTCCCAGCCAGTGACCTGGAGACTCGAGCCCGGCACATGTGTAGTCCCTACCAAAGCGATGATGTCTCCCTGCCCATGCGTTGACGAACCCCCAAACCCTGAACACGCACGCCAGTCCTCAATCCACAATCCAACCAGTGATGGTGTAGGCCCTAGGCCATGAGAAATTTCTCGTGTCACGGAAGATTCAAGGCAAAAGCTGCAAAGAACATATGCTAACACCCAGAATGTAGCTGATGTTTTCGGTAGGGCCCCAGCGTCATCTGAGTTTGGACGTCAATGCCACTCAGCCAGCAGCCATAGCCCGGATGCGAGTGATACCAGCCGCAGATCTGAGTCCACTGCTTGGAAGGTTTGAAGCTATGTTCTTAAACCAGCGGAGCAGTGGCTATCAGGATTCCATTGAAACATGACCTAGGGCGTGGGGCTTTGGCATCTAATTTCAATTGCGATGTTGCGATGTTCGCAGCCGTTTCGCCAACTCCAAACTAAGATCTCACAACCCCGAGTGCTGTCGGGATCCCGGCATTCTCCACTTTGCCAATCCTTTCGCACGTCCTTGGGGTCTGTTAGATTTGCCGGAGGGTCGAGGGCCTGAGTGCTTTACAACTCAACGGATTCCGCGTGGCTTGCTAACACAAGGAGAAAAGGATTTAACGGTCGTAGTCTTTCCTCCATAGCCTTTCAGTTCACATACCAGACCTGGTTGGGAACAGGCGGAGAGCCGTGAAGAGCACATCGACTTGATCCAAGATCCCTGTGTAGGCAATCTCCTCCCTGCTCAAAACTTAGCCGCCGGCTTCCTGACCCCTTGACTCACACTCAGTGGCACATCACTCAGTCAGGTTCGCAGCAACCCTTGTGCCAGGGCCGACTGCAGCCGGGAGAGTGCTGACTCTATTCTTGACTTGGCGGTGGTGGTTTGGTCTCGTCGGGGTCTGCTCCACCTGGAGGAGCGAGGCCTCCCCTGAGGGGCAGGAGCATCTTTACGTCAGGATTTTTAATGCCAGAAAAACCTGATTTTTACCGCTTTCTCCGTAAACACTGGAAGCACCACTTGTGCCTCTTGTGGTAGAGGATGCGGGCAAAGTCTTGCCGGGCTGGGATTCCGCACTCTGCCACGCAACTGGTCGAAATCACTTGGCGAAAATGAGGCTGGAGCTCAGTAAATGTCACCATGAATTCGTTCGCTCCAGCACCGGCATTCACCTCAGGAGTAAGATATATCTCTACATAGGCCTCATGCCGCATGCCTGTCAGTCTCTCGGCTTTGGATATGGCTTTGCCAAATTCGGTGGGCTCCGATAGCCGAACATCACAGAGTACCATTTTTGCTGCTAGAGGCTGCTCGAGGAATGTAAGCTTGCAAACAGGCCCCCTGCAGCTAAGTGCTTCAGGCCCGGGCCCGAGTCTCCGTGCCCTCCACAGGCAAAGGAAAAGCATCCATGATGATGAAGGTCCTGTCCGGTGTGACCTGGCGCACGCGCCAAGGGCTTGAAGCTTTCACACTGACGGTCAGCACGTCTGATGACAGCTCGGCGATTGAAGCGGTCGTGGTCGAACCGAAGAGTTTCGACGAGAAACAAAGCAAAGGTGCGTGCTACGAGTCCGACTTGGACTGCTAAGCCTACACAGAAGAAACGAGACAGGAAGCAGCACTTGGACATTAAAGCGGCGTCCGTAAGATATCAACAAAACAAGACAGTCCTGATCCGAAGGAGTCCCAACTCTCGGCCGGCTTCGAGCTATGCGCTCTATGGAGGGGGTGGCACTGCCAACTATGTCTTCAGGCAAAGGTCGAAAGAACGTGACACTTAGATTCGCTTATGCCAGACCCGATCACCAGCTCAACTTCAAAATCCTTCCGGCCCTGAAGCCCAGGCTTCACCTTGCCCTGCATCAGGCCCATGACCTGCAACGGTGAGGGATCCCGGGTTTCCGCCGGGTTTCAAGCCGAAGGCCGCAAGGTTTCGGGTGCGGGGCCTTGGGCAACGGCAGCCCTACCCGGAGCTTTGCAAGTTCGGGACTCGAGACGTTGCTTTCCCAATTTATGGCTGTACCCAGGGATCCCGATGCCTTGGCTTCAAGTAATTCAAAAGACTCGGCGTGATCTCCACCGGATGAAAAAACCTTTCAACCATGAGAAGCCGAAGCCATCAGTCTCTCAACCCAGCCATACACTGCAGATTTGTTGCAATGTACATTCTCCCTGCAAGCCTCCAACGGTGCCCCAGACCTGAGTACGAGGCAGCAGTGTGCGACATGGAAGGTAAAAAGTGGGAGCGTCGGGAATGAAACAGCCCAAAACCGCAAGCCGTCTGAATCACAGAACAGGACTACCGGTTTTCCAGGGTTTTGAAGACCAACCAACTGGCAAACCTGCTCGGTCATATGATCTTAGATGTTCATCCAGGTGCTCTCAATGCCATCCAGCTCAGAAAACATCCTCGCAACTGAACTTGAACAAACTTGGTTCGTAGTACCGATCGATTCAGAAGGTCGACGCTGCGATTACTGCACATATGTTTGCAAATTAATCGAAATAAAATAACTATGGAATATGACAAGTCGCAAGGAGAAGGTCTAAGTCTAAGTTGTCATATCGTTTTCCAAAATGCGTGCCTGTGCCACAGGGTGCCCACATGGGCTTGGTGCGTTCTCTCGCCATCTCCCGAGGCTCTTCTCTCTCCGAAATATGAGCAAGAAAGGGTTAAATGCGGTTGACAGTATTTGGAACTGACCCTCTTTCGCTCTGAGGCTGCGACTTCGTGTGCATCATGATCTTGATCAGCGCGATGGCAGACATGCGCACATTCTGGCAAAGGCTGACCCACCAATGAATCGTGCTCCGAAGCTCAAGCATACATTGACCTACAAGTCCAAAGCCGAAGCCAGCCAGTTCTTAAACCCTGAGCCGAAAAAATGAATTCAATCTACTACAGACGACTCACCGCTGAAAACTCGTCACGGGTCGGGGCGATGCATGAGCCACTAGTGCAACCGTCCGCCTAGTTGGGATCGATCGACATACAATGTACAATTCGCTTCGCCAGACTTAGACTGAGTCCACTGGCCGAATGAAGTCCATTCGCCCGCCCTTGAAGTGCCCACACTGAAGATCTGCGAATCCGAAAGCCCCACCAGCACTCTCTTCAATATCCTAAGCGGAAGGACGACGCCTTGAAGAAGTGAACGTCTTCCCTCCAGGGTTTCTTGTCGTAGATGGCGTCCTGCTCGGCCTCGCAGGAGCAAGGCAAAAGTGGCCTAAAGTTGCGGGTGGAGCCCACATGGCTGCTTTCTGGCCTTCCACGAGACCACAGGAGACACGGCTCCAAGACCACCGCGAAATTGCTTTGCTCCAACGAGTTTCGGGATCACACGACTTTATTTATGCCAGAGGGATCCCCACAGGGACACCCAAATTCCTTGCCGATGCGGGGAGCAAACGTCCTGCCGCATGGCGGCCCCAATCAAGTCTCTTTACTCTTAGCGCAAGACCAACAGCTGCAGAAAAAAACAAGGGGAGAGGTCAAGCACAAGCACAGGCAATTCTGCTAACCAGTTTGAAACATCCAGCCCCCTTCTGCGCGCCCCTCGCTCAAAAGCCAACTGGCCTTTTGGGTCACATGGTGTGCCCAATTGACTTTTCAATGACGTTTTCAAAGCCATGTTGACAAGGCTCTCACGTATACTTGCCCCAGGAATTTCGAAGCCAGCCCTGGCAGTCCATGAACCTGCCCATGAAGGCCATCGTCGTATGGCAAGGCTGTGTGGCCACTGCGGCCGACGCGCTCGCAAACTCCAGCATGCTGACAGCGGATGCCCAAATTATCAAGGAAGTGCAGGGATGTGCGTCTTCGCGGCGCAGTTGAATCGTGTGTTGGTCTCAGCAGGCCTGCCTTCATGTGCTTATTTTTCCACGCCTTTCCTCTCGGTGCAAACAAGGCGCTACCGACAACAAATGAAATTCAGATACTCTGCAGGCAGCTAAGCGGCTGGCGGCCTAGAAGATTTTGCATTTTCCGATGTCGTGTTGCGGTCCCACAAAACTTCCATAGCTGTTTTTTTGTTCATGAGTGGGACGACTTGCACAGCTGCGATTATGAAAGTGTGCTCAACGACAAATGTAGCAGGCACATGGCGACGTTGACACATGTGGGTCGTCTACGAAGGCACGTAGCGCTTTCAGGTCGTTTTAGTAGGATCGGGGTGGGCGCACGTGCCTAACTTGCCTCGTGTGCTTGTCTACCACTTGTTAGCATCTTCACCTTGCGACCCTGAGTCACCGGCGCTCCTGTCTTGCAGTTTTGATTCGATGATCGTTTACTGGCACGTTTTTGGAAAAACTAGGCTCGGAGCGAAGGCAAGCCAGGCGCCTGGTCGAAAGCGTAGATTGCTGCGTCGTCAATCTGAACCACCTGTCTGAATGCTATCGTGGAGGGTGTTACGGGTAGAAGCGCACAGCATTTTCTGTGGTGCTCGTGCTCTACAGTTCTGGGTCGTGCTGGCCAACGGCGGGTCAAAGAGCCTGCCTCAAGGGTTCAAGGTCTTGTGCGAGGCGAGATGTCGTGTCAAAGGTCTAAGCTATGCGAGTGGGCCTTGTGGTCAGGATTTGGATTTCAACCGGGAGTGCGATTCCGCATTCTAGAATTTTGTGAGACACTTGTTGCTAAATGCGAATCAGCTCATGCAAAGAGTGCTCTTCGACGCACTGCTCATGGTCAACAGGTAAGCCCTGTTCAGTTTCCTCCAATCAAGCGCGAGGTCTTGATCTCGGGAACTGGCTTCTGTGCACAAGCTATAAGCTGAGAAGGCAGGAGCTAAAAATCTAGCTGAAGATGCAAATCTGCTATATAGGCGCCGTGCTTTATCTATTCAGGGTTGGGGCGTTGCAGAGGAAAACTCATGAAGCAAACAGAGCGGCTTTCAATTGAGGGTTTCACCTGCCTGGTTCTCCAGCTCCCATGTCTTTTGCGCGGTGCTCGCCATGGGTGGCACAGCGTAGCTACGTCTGGAAGCGAAAATACCTCAATGCCAAATCCTAAGGCTCAGAAGACTAACGGTTAAAGTCCTGCTGCTTTGTCTGAGTTTCCTTGAGATCTACGTGTTCCCAGATTCACCCCTCCACTCGGAGCAGGGCGACGGAAGCTTAACTGCTCAGGCTTCCAGCAGCATAAGTCTTTAGATACAGTCTGTCCACCAAGACTGCCTGCTGTTGTGACACTCGGGGTGGCTTGGAGACAGACGCTTTCTTTCGAAGTGCCTATGGGTGAACCCCTGGCTGGGACACGCCCCTGGCTGAATGCTCTCCATCTCTCTGTTTCCCTCCCTCCTTCGCTCCCTCTCCCAGCAACAAGTCGGAATACTCAAAGCGGTCAGACCTGAGAGGAACTTGCAGTGTCCTAGGTGACAGGATCCGAGGACAGGGTTCAAAGGACTGGGCCAGGGTCTCAGGTAACTCCTCATCGGCAAGCTGCAGCTACACAAAAAGCACCACGGGTAGTCAGTGGAACAGGAGTCTTCAGCCGTGGGCCTAGACTAGTTTGCATCACAGTCTGAAAGCCTTTTTCTGTGGGCAACTGTCCGCCGGGTGAAACATTCAAGGTGACAGAGTACGGTACGATGCAGCCACAAATGTGCTCGTTAGCATCCCATTCACCTTCCGATGCAGGCTGGAAAGATCCATCCACCATACGGGCTGTCAGCATGCAAGTCCTTCTAGTACCGAACTATTGACGGAGCTAAGAATCCGAAAGCGATATCGAGGATCAGCCTAGCTTGAAGCCTTCGCTTTTGCCGCTACAGCCGTTGCACGCGTATCGGAAGTGTATGAGACCGGGGGGACTGCCCTGGAGCAATATCCAACTCTGAATTCCGTCTGAAACAAGCAATTCTCGGCAGGACATCTGCGCTGAGCGCTCTTCCGGGCTTTCAGGGCCTGGTTCCGGCTCCTGGGTTGTGGGTTCGCACGAAGGAGCGATCCCGCAAAACGTCCGGCCAACTTCTCGACTAACATGCATGAAGTTCAGGCTGGTGCTGATCTGCACACGGCTTGCACATCCGAAGAAAAGATACGGCACACATCTTGTTTTGGGCCCTACTCCTAGGGGCCTTGCGAATGTGCTGTGAGGTCTCCGAGCTTGGGACCTTAGGAGGTCCGAGCTCGCTTCTGGGTGTTTTTGCTCGTGCTGAGTATCCTTCCCTGCAAATCCCAGTCTGCGCAGGCTGCCGTCATCTAAAGACGCCCCTTTCAGCATGGGATGAATGCAGCAGCAGCACGCGAACCTGTCTGAAGAAGCACATTCGTTCATGCGAGATTTTAGCGAAGACTTCCTCTCTTGTCCGCTGTCTCGACTTGCACCTGCTTGAAGTTCTTTCCCTTCCCGCCTTCTGTACAGCATCGCGGCTGTCGCGGCAGGTTGCAAGACGCATCCTGACAGCCGGCAAGGACCCCAACGGCGACGCGATGAGCAGGCGCAAACGATGCACTTGGCTCGAAGTTCCAGGCATGTCCCGGAGGTGTCACATCGGAGGCAGGACGTCTCCGAGGTCATCGTTGCCCCAATCCTGGCTTCGGGATTTCGGCCCTTTCGGCCTTCAGGCTACAGGTATCTTCACGGAGGCGGTGCTGAGATCAAGTTTCGAAGTCAGGCCGCGCTTGTGTGTGAGTGTGGAGGCGGACTGGGCAGCGCTGACCTGCTAGAGACTCCCTCCTTCACAGGAGTACCTCGATACCTTGGAACCAACGCCTCACGCCCAACATGTCTGAAACATGTCTGACTTTGAGCATTTCCCATTACTTCTAGAACCACGAAAACACGAAGCATTTTTCCATGCTGATGCTCCACCTGCAATTGCCAGACAACACCGAATGCCAATTCCAATGCAAGGGTGCAAACGAGAAGGAGACTCAGGACCCTCAAACCTCCTCATTGATCCTCCTGCCCTCGACCCGCACGAACTCCGAAGCCGAGAAGCGAGCCCGAAAGCCTAATGAACCTCTGTGACCACTTCTTAGTAACTTCTTAGGTCTTGGCATCATCGTCGTCGGTCGCTTTGGGGGCCGCAAGCCGACGTTTCGGAGCAGCTTGGCGGAAAGTTCGTGAGAGCTTGGAATGCATGGAGTTGCTGGATTCCTACTCACCCTAGTACTGTCAGCTTGCTGTCTTGGGGTTGTGGGGTTTGGCCGAAATCTGAAATGTCCGCAATCAAGCTTCGACTTGTAGTCCGAAAGCGAAACCCAGGGCATCTTGTAGACTGCCGTAACAGAGTATCAGGTGCTATGACAGAGTATGAACCTGTACATCTCTGAGAGAACGGCCTTTGGCTGGCAGATCTGCCTCGGCTTCGTAGAGCTCCACAGGCGGCCTGCGCTGACTTTGGGTTTCAAGGACGGATGACAATTTCCCTTCGAACGAGAGCATGAAGAGATGTTTTGGCACTGCCCGAATAACCTCAAGCCACCCATCAGGGAAGACGGCCATCCTACCACAGCCACGTCTGGAGATTCACCCGCAAACTTCTAGAGCTTCGCCAAGACAGGCCGACCTCCGAATATGATTTACAAAGCCTGAGCCCGGAAGGCTGTGAACTTCTTTCATGTGGGTTTCCCGCGGCTGGATTCCAGAGATAGACCCTTCCGCACAACAACTCCTTTTCGAACTCCTTAGCAGCTGCCGCAAGGGGGGCATGCGCACACCCCCCACCCACAAAGAGGAGGAAAACCAACGAGAAGGACTTAAAGGGGGGGTTTAGGGTATAGGAACCCTAAACCCTAAACCGTANNGGGGGGGGGGGGGGGGGGGTTGAAAAGGGTCAACAATTCCGAAAGACGGGCACACGCCGGCCTTGGAGCCTCGGGAGGAGGTGGCGGATCATCCTTTGATTTGGTGTGAACAAAATAGATGGATATATTATGATATATACATATAATTATATATATTCTTATGATATATCGTGAGATATTTGGATCGAGCCTTCTTTTCTCTAGCGCCGAACTCTGATGCAGAGACCTTCCCAGGCTAGGAGCTGACAAAATCCGATACTTTGGTGAGCACCGAAAACTCTGCTGCGAGGCGCCGCTTACTGCCCAATCCCTCTGCCAAAATTAGCCGAACGCATGCGGAATGTGTGATATGCACATAGCCTAGGCCTAGACTTCTCAATAAAGCCCTTCACAGCTAGTCTTCATGGTCCTTCAACCAGAGACACACTCATGCCACATCTGCGACCATAAAGGCGCATGACTGCCCTGTCCTCGTCATGGTCGAAACGGCCTCGAGACCTGCAAAACCGAATAAATGCTTCAGGAATCACAGGAACGCGGACTTCCTCTTCAGCGTCATGCATTGAGTTTAGGGTTTCAGATGACACATTTCGAACGACTGCCACTGCTTGAGAGTGCTCGTACTTGGGCGGGAGAGTTCCGCACTAGCTGGCTCATTACATGCGTGAGACAAGAAGCTCTGCCATAGTCGCAGCTGCCATACGTTGACTGCTTATTGCGGTAAGATCTTACTTTTTGGAAAAACAGGCACTTGCTGGTGATTGTCCAGCAACTTCCCAAAGGTGGGAACAAGCTTTTCTGTACTCCGACGTAAAGACATGATAAGACTTGTAAGCTGCCTGAGCCGGATAACCGAAATCTAGCATATGTCTCAGAACCCCATTCTCACCCAGCACTCGGCTGAGCGCCACGCCCACCGAAGCCACCCATGTCGCCGCTATCGCCGCGGGGGCTGTCCTCAAGACCTGCTTTGAGGGCTCCGCACTTGAGACCGATCTTCGGACTTCATCCAACACTGACACGGGAAACCCGTGGAGCTTGAAACTACGACTGGGGCAACAGGACTTGGAGTTACGGTACAGTACCAGCTAAAGTTTCATGCCATGTTTGTGTGTTTGCGGTTTTGCAATCGACTGCTGTTAAACTCTATATTCGGAAGGGGTCGGCGCAGTGCTTACAGCTTGGCACGTCTTCACCAAAATGCTTCGCTTGCGCTGCAGTTCCAGGGTTTGGGAAGAAAGGCTCATCACGTATTGCGTCAGGTCTCGCTCAGAAATATAACCCAGATCAAGACTCCAAAGAAGGGCTACGAAGAACCACAACCCCGTTCAACTCTCAAGCCTCCAGTCCAATGCTCCGACTACGCGAGACCCCCTTATTCCGAGATCGCTCTGACAATGCTCCTCAATCACTCAGTCTGCATTTCCCTGGCCTCCCTGTCCGATGGCCGAAACTGTGCCCATGTTCCGTCCCGGCTGCTCGTTCGCTGCCTTTGGCCAGGTGGGCATCGACTTTTCGAACTTGTGTGCGGGCAAGCAGGCTTGACTGCGCAGCACCTGCCTGCAATCTCTCCAGTTTTCGAAGGTGAGCTGCGTAGTGGTCCTGGCAGCAAGCAGAACCAGACCTCAAAGCGTCCGCGAGCTTCCCTGCACAGGTCCCAAGTACCTGCAGCATAATTAATCAATTAGCCTAGTGCTTCATCGCAACGACTTTTGGCATAAGCTGCGAGTGCAGCAGGCTGCCCGGAACATGTAATCTTAATGACAAATCTTCCAACTTGAGGGGCTTTTGTTGAGAAACAGGCAGTATAGTGAAACCCGCGAAAGACCAAAAGATCTGGACAGCAAAGCGCCCTGTCCGACTGCTGCACATGTGTCGGCAAATTACCGCGCAAGCAACATATGACATATGAGGTGGTGGGAATGTACAATATTTTATTTTGTACATATGTAGTGTACAGGGATTATCACAGCAAACGGTGCTCGCCAAGAAAAGTTCTTGACGGAAAAACAGGCCGCTCGAACGTACTTCTGCTTCATCTCCTGTAAGGCTGTAAGGGCAGCTCGGCGAGTGGCATCGTGATTCGGCTTCAAGTTTGAGGTAAGGGGTTTGGTTTGCAGAGCTCGACGAAAGTCTTGCAACAAGGAGCCCGACTGCAAACGTGAAAGCTGTGTCTTCCCAAACCTGAGCCTGAGCACAGCGGATGACCTGTCGTGTTGCTTACGCCCGCAAGCCCTAGTCCTGAAGTAGGAACCCCGGCCATGGTGCACCATCAATGGTCAAGGAGAACGATACACGAGTATCGTCTGCAAAGCTTTTGGGCTGAAGGATCCGAAACTCCGAAACCCCTTGGCAACTTGGAGAATGGCTTAGCGCGGAGTCCAAGACAGATGCCTTCATATGGATCGTGTGCACAGAACAGGACCGCGCGCCTTGCAAATGGTTATGAGGTACCTGACGCACTCGATGTCATTCGGGTGCGATCTGTGGATATCCTGCACAAATCAGAAACATGAAAGAATGCCTTTCTCGATTGGGCGGGTGGTGGTTTGAAGGTTGAGCTTACCTTTTCGGAAAAGGGCCCCGCAATCCCAAATTCTGAAGATGATCAGACATGGACTTTGCACTGGCCTTCGGGTTTCTTCAGCTAAGCCTCCCAAAGCCCATTGAACAGCAACGCTAGTCCTCGTAGAGCTTCAGGGCAGCTGGGTATGCACCTGAGCGCTGCTGCCCAAACAAGAGAGCTCTCCGGGTTTGCTCTTGAGACTTTTGGTTCCTCGGGTCAGGATGATGAGCGTTTCAGCCCGAGCGATCGTGCGTCACCAATATGTTGAGGCTTTCGGCAATGCCAAAGCGTAAATGCGCAAGCTTTACAAGCACGAAATGTCGGCCGAGATCAAGAGGTGATGCGCACTTTACTTTTCTTGGCTGTGTCGACGATGCTGTCGAAACAGCCACATGCTGGTGCAGCCGACGGACCCATCCGCCGGTAGCAAGATGCAACCATGAGCCTCCACTTCACCTGCAGGAAATCTCGGGGGGTTGGATTGCTGCTGATCCTGCAAGAAAAGGCCTAGAAGACCATTTGTGTTTCGTTCAGAGAAATGCTCAGTTAACAAGGCACACAAATTACTTGCATGGTTATGTCGTCGGGACCAATATATGAGCAAGGCCGATGAAGCGTTGGCACACAGAGCCATTGCAGCACGTGGCGGCAAGAAGAAGAGTGACTTTCACTCAGGGCGTTTCGTGATATAAGTGATTTCTCCGCAAAGTCGATGGGCTCTGTAAGTCAACCGAGCTCTGAGGATCCAAACAGGTGGGCCCGGAGCTCCCAATCCTCTGAAAGTCTGGGCTCCGAATGATGGGGTCAGTGGAACAACAGACTCCCTGTTGGAAAGTGCTTTTCAGTGAAATTCCCTTTGTAGCCTCCTAACTCTTTGAAGACTCTTCGATTGTTTTTCCATACACCAAGATTTGCTGGTCGTGGAGCCCAAGCACGAAATCACACAACTTTTGACCCAACCGGACCTCGTTTGGCTCGATCTGAGACGCCCTAGAGAAGAAGGGGATCGCTGCCTCGTACCTCAGACGATTTCGCACCGTAAGGTTCGGAGGGATTGAGAATGCAAGCCATACATCTCGCATCTCACAGAAACTGAACCAAATAGTCTTCCGGCGCCCGGAAGCAGATGGATCACTGAAATTCCAGACTTCTGCAGGACCCGAAGTCCAAAGCCATGGACTCCGAACGGGCATTCAAAAGACTCCTTGTGGCAAGAGCAAGGGCTCCAGGCATCTCCTGCTTGACGTAGTAAATGCCGAGCCAGGTGATGACGTTCATGTCTACCGGCCAGTACCTACTCCCGAGAGTTTTGGGCAGTGACACGGACCCTCCAGCTCGAAGCCTTTACCCCTGTGCAGTGATCTTTCAGACACGCAAAGAGAGACACGCCGACTGATGAACATGATACTGAATACTGCACCCAATGCCAAAGGAGAGAGTAGAGCAGGTGTTGCGACTATGCCAAAATTGAAAGTTTGCAAGTTCGCATCCTGGTCGTGGTGCTGCAGTACTGAGGGAAGCTCTGTCGCAGAACAGTGAACGTGCACACCATGGCCCAAGATACCAGAAACTCCAGGGCGTGGGCCCAAACTCCGGACAATCTTTTGTCGTGCACCGCTGAGCACTTGGGAGGTCTGAAACTTTGGGATGTCCGTGCGCTCAACATCATGAAACCTCCATTTGCAGTCCAAACTTCCAAGATATTTCTAAGATCCTCAGGGATGTTATCGGAGCTGAACCTGATGAAGCATGACCCGCAGGAACTGGCCTGTAGGACTCCAGGTGGTAGTGAAACGCCTGCGTCTCGTCTCCCGCTTTGTTGAAGAGGTTGGCGAGGCGTGCCAAAACACCTGGCTATGCGACCGAACGTCTCTCCTAGTCTTAGAGCAGCAAACGCACGACTCTCTGGACTGCGAGACAGAGAGGGTTTTCGCCGCACCCGACCTGGATCTGTTGGCCGCCCCTTCGGCGACGTGACCTTAAGGAAAGGGTAGTCGAGGGCCGAATGTCTCGGGCACAGGATTTGTTCTGCCGGGGTTAAGCTGGGAGGTCGACAATAGCCCACTTGTATTTGGAGCTGGCATGCTGCAAATTCATAGAGGGCTTGGAGGCCCGAGATGATGGTTTGGAGTACATTCAAGGTCGTTGGCACGGACACCCACCACACAACAGTTGCACTCAGCACACCACAAAGTCCTACACCCTTTGCCAACCTAGATGGTGCACATGTCCCGAAAGGACAAACAAAGCGACTCTGCAATAGACGCCGCATATCAGCCGATAGGGGACGTAAAGGTCAGTCAGGATCTCGACAAAGCATGATGGAATCGAACCACCATTAGCTTCATCGTCATCATCTCTCCCCTGACTATGCGACTAGCTGCCGGGCATCGCCAGGCTAGAGATCTGACCGTCCGACTCTGCCAAGTCACTGCGTGCGTCATCCGAAACAATCAGCAACAACGAGCTCATCCTCACCAAGTCTGCAGCTCTGGCCGGCGAAGGCTCCAAGTATAAGGTAGTTCACACACGAAGGCATGCGCACAGGCTTGCGTTTCTGTCAAGCCTTTGATGGCCGCGTCCCAGCATCGCTGTTTCCGTTACATAGGATTTGCAGTCGAAAGTCTCGTACGGAACCATTTAGAAAAGCAAACACTGCAGTCACTACAGCCTTTTTGCAGAGAGAGAGAGAGAGAGATGTGCTCTGTACAGGGCACGGCGACGAGGTGCACACCGGCCTTCGCTCTCCTGAAACGTTTTCGGGCAGAGAAGACAGAAGAAGCAGGGGGGAGAGGGGAGGAACGAGAGAACAAGGAGACAAACAGTAACGTCGCCATGAACCAAGTGCAACGATTTCGGGAAACAGACTCAACAAAAACGAAGCCGATGCCTTAATTTCAATCATCGGAAGACCGATGTGCAAATCCCCAAACTTCATCAAGCTCAGAGTCAATGACTTCTTTTGAGCCCCCAAGGCTGTGGCCAAAAGCGAGAACCACTCGTGAGCCTTGGCATGATTCCCAAGCTTCTCGTGGATGTCGCCAAGCCTGAAGTCAGGGATTTCACCGGCAGGTGCAGTATTGGGGCTTTGAGCCCGCAGAAAAGGACGACGCTTTCTTCTCGGGAAGCGGGTCGCCAATGGGTGTTGGAGGGTTCAAGTTCGAGCACACTGTAACTTAAGAGGGGTCTTCCAGCAGTGCATTGTGCCAGCGAGGCCTTCAAGCACTCCTGGACTGGTGTTTGAGTGAATTCGGCTGCCATGCCGTAATGCTACAGCACTCGGTCCCCAGGACATGTCGCCAGCTAAATCTCAAGGCTTAGGGTTCCAGGTGGTCGATCGGCGTGGTGCTTCTTGGGAAGCCCCACTGCCGCCCCTTGGATGGCCTCCGATTCAGAATGCGGCTGTTGAGTCGGTTGCTTGAGATCAGCAGCTTGAACTTCAAAGTTGCCGCGAAGTCCTCCACTATCACAACATCTCCATGAAGCAGTGTACCCGGGGTTCACGGGCTTCAAGACCTTTAGACTTTAGACCGAATCCGTGAACCCGCAACACCCGACCGTGAGGGGTCACAGTTCCGTACAGCTTAGCTCGCGGCTGCCACATCACTTCGCAATTCACCTGCGGGCTGTTAGTTTCGTATTGATGCTCCTAGCTGCGGTGGGCGTTGCGATTTCCGCAGTGAGAAAGGGTTTGGACGGTTTAGTGGTCTGCATTTCGCGATCTATGGTTTCAGGGCTGCAGAAATTCTAATGCAGGGATTCGCGGTTCGAGTCGTGTCTTGGCATCTCAGCTTCTAAAAGACCGACTAGACTATAAGTTGATTGCGTCAGGGCGTATCGATGGCTTTCGGCTTCGCATTTCAAGGTCTAGCTGGGCGCATCATCAACCAGGTCGCAGAAGCTTAATGTGGACCCGGGGCCACATCCCCTCAGCCGCTTCCGGCCGCTTCACGCTGCAACTACCCAAAACATGTTTCGCACTCACTTCCAGCTTCGAAACTCATGAACACCGATATTAAAGGCGAGAGGATGACCGAAGCCAAACTTGTCCCACTTACAACCATAGCAACCGCCACCCATGACCCCCCCCCCCCAGCAAACCAGCATCTGACATCCAAGCAATCCCGAACTCTCGCAATACATTCCATCATCGGAGAGCATCATTGCGAGAGGTCACTTGGATTCTTGGATTCTCTGATCATTAGTCCAGGAGTCCTCGAGCTTAAGCAAGGCCGTGGCTGAGAAGCGCACGTGGGTGATGGAGTGGAGCTTGTCAAAGGCCAAGAGGGCTTCCTGGTACCTTGCGAACTCTCGTGGAGCCTTTGGGTTCTTTCGAGGAAGGTTGCGGATTTCCGCCACATGAAGGCCGAATGGGCAAATGTGGTGAAACACAGAAGCTGAATTTGCAGCTCCGTCCAGGAAGGAACTTTCACATCTCAAACCGATATGGGCGCTTCGCCACACCTTTTCCTCTATGCTGAACTCTACGGCTACACCCTGCGCCAGCGCAACATTCCAAGTGCCGGACTTGCCAATGTGCATGTTGACCTTGTCTGGCTGCGAGCTCAAGGTTTCGGAAGCAGAAAATTCTATTTCTTGTGCCACGCTCCGAACCTGCTTGGCTGATTCTCAGACTTTTCTGTTCGGTTGAAGTCGCAAAGAGATACGGCAGCCCCCCTGGGATTGAACACTATTTACTCGATAACTAGATTTGTTGTTTAAGGCCGGCCTTGGCTTGAACAGACATCCGCATGAAGCCGCCGACACCGCAACCCTCACGGACACAGATCCAAGGCGCCAAAGGCATAATCTGGAATCCCTAAGACCACAACTCCAGCACAGGTCTTGAAGGTCGAGGAGGCATTTTGACACCATCACATGCCAACCGTCTACGATGGATGCACATCTAAGATCAAGAAACGGATGGACGATGGATGCATGCAGCGGTGGTGGGTCAGCCATCTTAGCCGTCGTCTCGGGGCTTTCTGAAAACTAGTGACGGCTGTAAACTCTCAGCTGCGGCCGCGCTGCCAAGCCGAGATTATAGATCGCCTCCAGGCAGTCAGCACTGACTCCTATGGCCTGGGACGCAAGGGGATTTCTGGGCTGAGGAGGAAGGCGTTCGGCTTCTTGAAAGTCTGCGGGGAACTGCAGATTCCACAAGTCTTGGCCTTCCTCTACGAGTTTCTTCTTCGAGTTGCTGGTATGCTGCAGTTTCGGTCTCAGCGGCTTCAGTCCAAGCGAAGATGGTACGGCGCTGGGGCTCCTGCTTCTAGGTACACCTCTTTCGCACGCTCGAACTCGTCATTCATGAACATGCCTGAGACCGCAGTGCGACCGGACGTCGTTTCACGTGAAGGCCTTTCCAGTTCCTGGTCCGCAAAAGCTCACCGTTCAGATAGTCATTTTATAGACAAGGTTGCATCGGAAGCCGCGGGGCTAATCTCGCCTTCCAGAAGCCACAGCACAATCGCGAAACCACCCCCTGAATGCGCTGCTTAGAGTTTTGAACCTTGCAGCTTGCAACGAAAGCAATGACCCAAGATGCCTGATTCTTACTAGCTTGCGGATCATGTCCAGTGAAGCACCGAACCGGAAAAATTAGACAAACATCGGCCCGGGATTATACCAAACGTCAAATTGAAATCTGAACCCACCGTTTTTTCGCCCTCCAACATGCAGCGGCAGTTGCAGTTGCCCTTGTTCACGAGCGCTCGAGCCTCAGTGCGAACCAAAACCCTACGGCGCAGGGCCGCAGGGCCTCTACCTGCGATTGCGATTCCACCGTCTTTTCCGAGCTCTGCCAAAGAGTCCGCATGCACCGATGCATGAACCTGCATGTGACTTAAGGGCTCTGCATACGTGATGTTGGGTTGACGTGCGAACCACATGGACTGCTTCAAGGATTGTAAGTTTTCATCGCCGACATCGCACAAGATGCTTAAGGGCCCGGCGTTGTATCGGTCTGCCTTCACCTTGAGTTGAGGCATCGTGTTGTTTTGTGAACCATGAGACTGGAGGACACCATTCGGGTTTCGGGGTCGGCGCTTGGGGATGAGACCTTCGTACTCCAGGAGGGCTCCACAGGATCAATACGCATGAGGCAATTTAAAAAACAGGTGCTTAATAAGCTCCACCCATGCAGACTCTTCAAGGTCCCAGTAGCTGCAATGTCCGCGTACTTCTCTGCTTGCGTGTGCTCCGCCTCCAAGAAATACAGGAAGGACCTCGGATGGTTTTGAATGCCTGCGGCTCGGGGCTCAAGATCGAGCCTGAACTGTTACCGCTTCAAGATTTATGTCGGACAGCTCCTTCGCAAGGGGGCGCGCGAGGCAGTGGTGCGCACGTGCTGAGATGCCGACAAGTTCGTGGCAGCACAAGCCATCAAGGAGGGCTCCTTCCGCTCGAACTTCTTCAGCACCTGCAGGGGCCAAGCTTCGTGACTTCCACAAACTCTGAACCCGGATGTGGCAAAAAGCTTGTTCTCGCCCGAACCTCAGCCCATGCGAATCGAGCTCTGGATCCGCATCTCTCTTTCGGGTCATGTTCGTGCCGTTGCTCTCGGCTTTCTGATGCGAAGCATGTCTTGACTATTGACAAGGTTTGAGCATGGCTTGACAAAGTGCGAAGGACAGGAGACCCAGCCCGAACTCCCAACGGAAATTCTCATTTCGGTTGCGAACTGAAGCTCACACTACAGCTATGACTGAACTTCGATGGGGCTCGACCTTCCCTCCAAGCCAACCGTTTCCGTTGAAGTAGCAAACAGACTGTGCCGTGTAAGATGGGCACAGTCTTCAGCTTGAGATTGAAGCTTGCAAAAGGTTTGCGATGGCAGCAGGTGTGGGTAGGCAAGTAAAGGTGCATGAACAACACAAATCAACCACGAAAGCCAGTGCAGCACTGGGCAAGTCAGAAGAAACTTGTGCAGAGCTTGGGAAGCTCGTCTCAACAGTCTCGAACCTTGCAGTCCGAAAAGACAACCGGTGGCGTGAGATGGGGCTATGCCGACGGAAGTAGGAAGTAGGGCATCCATGAGGATCTTCGGGTCTGCCTGCAGGGCTTAGGAGGGTCCTGCCTTAGAGGGTTGCAAATCGAGAGGAAGCGTTCCGATGCAAAGCCTCGAGCAACCCTCCATTACTACTCTATGGAACCTGCACTGAATCCCAGATCCGAGCGGAAGCACCTGGATGGCCTGATCGAATTCCTTCCGCCGAAGGAAGAAGCAAGATCTGGCGCAAATGTGCATCGCAATGTGGGCTTCTCTTGATTGCAAGCGAAGTCTGTAGCTCATGGCCATGGGAAAACCCAGAGTCCGCAGGTGACCGAAATCCCACGCCAAGTTGAAGAGCTGTGTATAGCTCTTCATGATTCGGTCACAGGATGCACGCCAAGTTCAGATCTCCCGAGAAATGCAGCTGCCCAACAGGGGCATCGCTGGAAAGTGCAGTCTTGCTTGATGCTCTTGTCCGGACACCGAGTCTCAAAACAGTACGAGTCTAACTTAATCAGTTCGCCGGCTCCAGGCAATCCATAGTCAGAGCTCTCTTTGACCAAGAGCTTCAAATGAGGGACACAGGCCATAGACAGGGATCGGCGCAGTATCAGTGACGGGAGTAAGGCGCATGCAAATCGTTTCGAGTCGAGTTGAAACGCAAATCACATTCGTCCAGCCACCCTGTCAGCAAGCATATGCGCATTGGATTCTGTGGGGTGGCAGAATCGCGGGCAGTTGACAACAATTAAGCACAAAGGTGTCAGCTCAAGGGCAAGCTTCTGCAAGCACAAGCACAGACGCACAAGTCAGGTGTCAGTCAACTCGAACAGCCTGAGGAATAACTCCGACCGGATACAAGGTTGCACGAAGCACACAGAGTCCAGCTCTTCTCTGACAGACCGTCCGAGCACAAGCCAGCACGGCACGGCCGCAGTATCCTCTCCGGCTCGGGCCCTGGCTTCGCGATTTCCAGCTCCGAGCCGATCCGGGGGAAGCCGTGGTGGTTCAGCGAATCGATCACCTCAGAGCGGAGACACTGGCTCCGAGGCTGGCATTGTTCGATCCTTCTGAAGCCTTCGAGTCTTCGAGTGTCAGCGGCCGAGAAAGACTAAACAAGTACAACATCTGCTCGTTGATGTGCTACCTGACACTTCAGCTTGCGTCTGGGGGATTCCAGGATCTAGAATAGCCGGCGGATTGGCAAGTGAAGGAAAGGTGCATGCGCTGAAGCATTATTCATTCGGGAAGGAAGCGCCTGAACTTGACATTCGCTGTGGCACTCGAGCATTGCGTTGAGTGAACCTGTATGCTAAGTCACTCACTCCCTTGCTCCCTCACTCCTTGACTCAGACACTCACTCACTCCCTCCCACCCTCCCTCGCTCCCTCACTCACACTCACACTCAAACGCAGGCAGACAGAAAATAAGGAATGCTACAACTAGTACCAGCAAGCAGGCGGCGTGTTCAGCGAATCTCTAAGCATCCTGCCCAGTCGAACCCTGCCACCTCCGATTTTTCAATGACCTGCCGAAGCTCATCCTTTGGGGGCGTGAGGTTTGAGTTGAATACTCACACTGCAGCACACCTCATGCCTCCCGAACTGCTGCCACGAACAGAACACAGATTGTCAGTGAACTCCCAACCCCTTCAGCTCTCCCAGCCCCGAGCCTACAAGTCCCGAATAGAACTAGGGACTGCAGGTCCTGCCGTTGAGTCCGCACACATCCGGCAGACAAAGATGAAACGCCAGCCTTGCCCTCTTTCAGCGATTCTCGCTGCTAAGCACTCAAGGATGATTCCTGCAGCCTGCAGCCGTCCCAAACCTCGAAGCCCCAAACGCACCTTCAGCACTAAACAACGAAATCCAAACGAAGCGCTGGTGGAGCCCTCGTGGCAAAGCAAGACCGTAAGCCAAGGACCTATTTGTAGGATATCTCCCCCCCCCCCCCCCCCCCC